CCACGCCCATTAAACAGTCACTCCACTCCCCCTTCCTCCTGGGCCCCAGCAACTGCTAATCTGCTTTCTGTCTATGGAAAAATCACTATCTTTTATCTTCAGCATTTCTCTCTCCTTTAGTGTTTCCTACAGCTTTCATTGTAGTCAAACTTCTCTCATCGAACGAAGAAAAGGAAATAAATCACAAAAATAATGAAAAAAGATTTGACACATCTACTTGAGCCACTGCCCTCTTACCACCAAACTTCTTTTTTTTTTTTTTTTGAAACAGAGTTCTCTGCTGTGTCACGCAGGCTGGAGTGCAGTGGTGCTATCTTGGCTCACTGTAACCTCCGCCTCCCGGGTTTCAGCAATTCTCCCGCCTCGGCCTCCCAAGTAGCTGAGATTACAGGCACCCACTACCACGCCCAGCTAACTTCTGTCCCAGCTATCATATGGGCACTGGAATTCCAGCTGTCTCCCAAATTCCAGATTCATGTTCATTTGCCCTTGGACGTTGCTTCCTGGATGTCTTCAACACATCTCAAAGTCAATGTGTCCAAAACCCTCTTAATGATCTACATTCCTTTTTGAGATGGAATCTCGCTCTGTCGCCAGGCTGGAGTGCAATGGCATGATCTCGGCTCACTGAAACCTCTGCCTCCTGGGTTCAAGCGATTTTCTTGCCTCAGCCTCCTGAGTAGCTGGGACTTACAGACGCACACCACAACACCCAGCTAATTTTTCTAAGTAGAGACGGAGTTTCACCATGTCAGCCAGGATGGTCTCAATCTCTTGACCTCGTGATCTGCCCACCTTGGCCTCCCAAAGTTCTGGGATTACAGGCGTGAGCCACCTCACCCAGCCAATGATCTATATTCCTAATCTCACTGATGGTATCACCATCCGCCCCACTTCCTGAACTAGAATTCTTAGTGGTTCTCCTGTGGTTCTGGGGTTTCTCTCTTTGTCTAAATCTTATTTTCCAATTGGTTAACAAATCCTTTAAATTATAGTTCAGAAAGATCTCTTGAATTCTCTCCATCCTTTTCATCCCTGTTGCTGCTGTCTTAGTTTAGGTACCCAATATCTCTTCTCTGAACAATATCTCTTCTCTGAACAACTACAATTACCTTTTTAAAAAGAGACTGAGTTGAATTCTGTCACCCAGGCTAGAGTGCAGTGGTGTGATCAGAGCTCAATGCAGCTTCCAACTCCCGGGGCTCAAGTGATCCTCCCGCCTCAGCTTCCTGAGTAGCTCACACTACAGGCATGAACCACCACACACAACTAATTTCTCTCTCTTTCCCCCGCCCCCCCCCCCCACTCTCTTTTAATGCATAGGATCTTGAACTCCAGGGCTCAAGTCCCATTCAGATTGCTCCTTCCTACTGTGCTATTCCTAGCCTTTTCCAGAAAACCTCCATTTTAGCATTTGTCACAGTATGGCCATTTACCTGTCTCCTGTTCTCCTGCCTTGGCCTGCAAAGCACTGGGATTTCAGGTGTGAGCCACTGTACCCAGCCTAGAATTACCTTTTTAAAAAATTCCCCACCAAGTGCGATGGCTCACACCTGTAATCCCAGCACTTTGGGGCCAAGGCGGGAGGATGGCTTCAGCCCAGGAGTTCAAGATCAGCCTGGTCAACATAGCAAAACCCCATCTCTACTAAAAATAGAAAAAATTAGCTGGGCGTGTTGGTGCATGCCTCTAGTCCCAGCTACTCTGAAGGCTGAGGCACAAGAATCGCTTGAAACTGGGAGGTGGAGGTTGCAGTGAGCTGAGATCCTGCACTACACTCCAGCCTGCATGACAGAGCAAGACTGTGTCTAAAAAAAAAAAAAAAAAAGTTACTTATGTCCTTTTTATAACTGGTGGAGTGGTACCTTAAGATACAAAGTCATCTTGTCTTTCTCCTATTTAAATATCTCTACCTCTTAGAAAATACAGCGAATCTCATCTGTCTAGCCCTGACAACCTCTTCACCCTCATCTCCCAGGATGTATAGGTTCTGCTACAAATCCTCCACTCTCTACCACAGGCTTCTAGATGAGGCTGCCTCCAATTTCTGACCCAGAGGTGGGACACATGACTAGATTAAGTCTCTGCATCTGTGGACTCAGTCCTAAACCAGAGCCAATGAAATGCATTCCTGCGTTTTTCACTGATAAGAACCTCAGACCTCTTTGCACAGGATGTGAAGGAAATAGGAACAGAGATGGGAACTGCTGCATCTTGCAACCAAGGGGAGACTTAGAATGAAACTACCACTAGGGAAAAAGGAAAACATCCCGGTGACATCTTTCGAGACCTGAATCAAACCCTATCCACAGCTATATAGCCTTTGACCACCTTTTAAAAATGTAATGTAAGCCAACACACAGCTCCTCCCTTTATGGTAGATGCGTCGGTGCATGGTAGACATACCTGACAGTGATAACTTATGCATACCCTAAGAATGACCCTGTATGACAGGTGCACCTGAATGTGTGTTTAGAGTTCCAAGCTAAGGAATCCCGGAAGGGCCAACCCGAAGACTCATTCCTTATCAATGAGGAACATCTGAGCCCCCCAGCCCGGCCACAATTCCATACACAGGATCCAGGCCCTTTTGTCGGGGTTAAATGAAGTTTGTCGGGTGGAGGTTGTTAGGGGGAGGGTGTAAAGTGACAGTTCTATGTCAACTGCACACTTTTGCAAGCAGTGTGGTTCTTCTGCCCAGTCTGCCCCCACTGGACTCTCCCCCTTGTTTGTGAGCCCCCAGTTAAACCCTATGTCTCGTTTGCTGGCTCTGGGTCTCTTCTTCAGCCTCTTGAAGCTGGTGCCATCTCTATGGGAGTTGATAGGGGTTTGGCACAACACCTCCTTACCCACTTCATTTTCTATTCTCAAGATAGTTTGAGTTGGGATTTGTGTTGTTACAAACCAAACTCTCCACTCATTACCCTTGAAGCCAGTGTTTCCCAAATTTTGTTGAACATTAGAATCACCTGGAGAGCTTTTAAACCCCACCCCCTATCAATTAAGTCATAATGTCTTGGGGTGGGAACCAGGAATTGGTAGTTTTTAAAGATCTCGGGTGATCCTAATGCATGGCGAAATTTGGGAACCACCGCTATGAGCAAAGTGAGCAGCTTCCTTTGGGCCTCCTTGGCCCCTGCCCGCCAATTTACCACAGCTCTTCTCACACTATGCTGCAGGCCTGCCTCCCCTTCTGGACCTCGAGCATCTCAATGGCAGACTCATGTCTCTCCCTTCTTTGTCTTGTACGTGGTAGACCCTCAGTAAGTGTTAAATAATGAAGAAATGAATGAATCAGTAAGTGAGATAGGCCCATGCAATGTTCTTGTGTATTTTTTTCATTCAAGGTAACTTGTCATGAGCACAAGGTTTAAAGTGGGAGAAAAAGGTGTAAGAGCATATCTTTGCCCAAATCCTGGTGATCCAGGGCAAATCCTCTGCTGTTCAGGGCCTCTTTGACCTCATCCATAAAATGTGAATAACAATAGCACTTGCATCACAGTGATGTTCATGTAAAACTTCTACATACTGCATTGCTGCACAGCAAACAATCAGATGGTAAGAAACTGAGTATAGATGGCTCCTTGTAGAATCGCTTATTACTGGAAAGGGCCACACAGTGTGGGAAGAAGCAGAATAAAGAGTAGCTTGCAGTGGTTTTTTTCTTTTTCTTTCTTTCTTTCTTTTTCTTTTTTTTTTTGAGATGGAGTCTTGCTCTGTTGTCCAGGCTGGAGTACAATGTTGCGATCTTAGCTCACTGCAACCTCCGCCTCCTGGGTTCAAGCAATTCTCCTGCTTCAGCCCCCTGAGTAGCTGGGATTACAGGTGCCTGCCACCACGCCCAACTAATTTTTGTATTTTTAGTAGAGATCGGTTTCACCATGTTGGCCAGGCTGGTCTCTAACTCCTGACCTCAGGCGATTCACCTGCCTTGGCCTCCCAAATTGCTGGGATTACAGACTCGAGCCATGTGAGCCACCACGCCCTGCCACAGTGCTTTCATTTTTTGGTTGCAAGCCTTGAGCATGTTTAGAAGCTAAAAAGAAGAGCCAGGTGGAAGGGGCAAACTGAAGTGTGGAGAGAAGCCAATTCAACACTCAGTGCTCTGGGAGTTGTTTTGCTTCTCTTGCAGTTGGTTAAATTAGGTGAATTTCATTCAGGTGGCTGGAAGTTTGTTACACTGGGGTGGAGAACCAATTACTGCTTGGTGGCAAAACAAAAGACTTGTAAAATTCTGCTGGACTTGCCCTGCCCACAATGCCCACAGCACACAATCAGGTGCTTTCAGAGCCACCTGAACAGAGCCTGTTATTTGGACCCAGGCCAGGTGAAAGGCTGTTTTGATATTATTCATCACAGAGCATTTCAATCTATTTTAAAGGAACTCTTTCTGCCTGAGGAGGAAGGAAAGCACTTCTCTGAAAAACCCAACAATATAGCAAGATTCGTTGTAATGGAACTTTACCTGCAGAGTGTTTGTTATTCAAAGCCATGTGCTCATAAATTTGTCAGCAGAATGGTTAGATGGCTCCTTACTGTTTAAGATAGTAAGTTTCCAGTCAAGGATGTCCTTGAACACTCCTCCACCCGCCCTCTGCCCCAGCTCTGTCTCCTTATCTGTAAAAGAAGGGCATGGGCCTGTGGGCCTGTCTCTTCCTTCTCCCTCCCTTCCACCAACATGTATTTGTTTGAGCTCCAGCAGGGAACGATGTAGGTGCTCTGGGGAGATAAAACAAAGCCTGATTCAGCACTTGTCCCTCCCTCAGAGAATGTGCAGTTTTGCAGGGAAATTATAACCAAAGGTACTCTGTTGTAGCTGAGTTTTTCATCACCTCTCATTTAAATCCACTTTCAGTGGATTCCTAGTCCACCTCTCTGGCTTCACTCATTTTTCTGCCCTCTACCTGCCAGAAGGATCTTCCTAAAGCGCTGTCCAGTGCAAATGCTGCCCTCCAGCCCACAACAGGACAGACAGTTGCTTTTTTGTTTTCTTTACTCACGTGCTGCCCTCCTCAGTCTCTGTGTCCGGCAAACTCCTCATCCTTCAAGGCCCATTGCCATGCTTTCCTGGTACTCACAGTCTCGGCAGAATGGATTGCTCCTTCCTCCTGCGCTGTCCCTAGCCTTTGCAAGCACATCCACATTGGAGCATCTGTCACAGTACGACCGTTTACCTGCCTCCTGTACTAGGGAGGGCCGGACCTTCATTAGTCTTGTTACCTCAGTGCATGATCCTTAGTGGGTGATGAATTAATGATTGTGAAGTCATTGAGTGTCATATGTGAGAAATATACAAAAACACACTGCCCTTTGCCTTCCCAAGCCATAGGTTTTTGGGGGAATCCTGGAGACCAGGAACCTGGGGAATTTTTTTACCCTAATATTTCATTTTCTTTCTTTCTTTCTTTTTTTTTGGAGACAAGGTCTAACTATGTTGCCCAGGCTAATCTTGAACTCCTGACCTCAGGTGATCCTTCCAGCCTCCCAAAGGACTAGGATTACAGGTGTGAGCCACTGTGCCAGATCATCTAAATATATTTCTTTTTTTTTTTTAGATGGAGTCTGCCTCTGTTGCCCAGGCTGGAGTGCAAGGGTACAATCCCACTGCAACTTCCACCTCTGGGTTCAAGCGATTCTTCTTCCTCAGCTTCCTGAGTAGCTATGATTATACGTACCCGCCACCACGCCCAGCTGTTTCTTATATTTTTAGTAGAGGTGGGGTTTCACCATGCTGGCCAGACTGGTCTCGAATTCCTGACTTCAGGTGATCCGCCCGCCTTGGCCTCCCAAAGTGCCGGGATTACAGGCATTAGCCACTGCGCCCGGCCACCCTAATATTTCAAAGGAAACAAAGTATGACACTTCAAATGCTCATGCACCCACCATCCAACTTTCACAAATCTTCTCCTTTTGCCCTATTTGCTTCAAATATTGTCTTCTTTTAAATAGTTAATACATACTCTGTGCCTCACAGAGATCCATTCCCTTTCTCTGGAATTTGGTGTTTATCATTCTAATACGTGTTTTTATGCATTTACTACAAAGGCATATATTTCTAAACATTGTTTTATAATTTTAAAAATGTTTTGAAACACCTTACCTTCATGAAGACTCCCATGTGTGAAATTACAATTTGTTTTTCCTGTCAGTGTTATCCAGATACGTGTGGGCTATTTCTGTTCCCTTCTACTCCATTGTCTATTTATGTGGTGATTCTTTAACATTAGTGACTTTATAACGGATTTTGGGGGTGGGTGGGTGGGACAGAGTTTTGCTCTTGTTGACTAGACTGGAGTGCAATGGCATGATCTCGGCTCCCTGCAACCTCTGCCTCTCAGGTTCTAACGATTCTCCTGTCTCAGCCTCCCGAATAGCTGGTATTACAAGTGCATGCCACCACACTTGGCGAATTTTTGTATTTTTAGTAGAGATGGGGTTTTATCATATTGGTCAGGCCGGTTTCGAACTCCTGACCTCAGGTGATCCTCCTGCCTCAGTCTCCCAAAGTGCTTGGATTACAGGCATGAGCCTCTGCACCCAGCCTATAATGGATTTTAATAGCTGACAGGCTAAGTCTGTCCTCCTTGTTCAAAGTTATTTAGCTATTCTTTGGCTTCTCTCTTCCATATGAATTTTAGAATTAGCTTGTAAAGGTTTGTGAAATTCCTTATTGAAGCAGGCATTTCATTAAATGCATATATTACTTTGAGAGAAATCTTCATTTTTATGGCACCTGGTAAGGCTCTCCAGCTATCAAGACCTTTTGTGTGGGATGTGGCAGTGCTCCCCAGGGCATCATTCCCAAGGCATCCCCACCCAGCAGCAGAGCAAAGAGCCTCTGAGAGCCCTCTCACTTTGTGTGAGCAGAGCCCAGCCAGCAGGAACCAACTGCCAAGGTGTGGCCAACCCAGAGATGTCAAATGCACGATTTCCATTACCTCCAAGTTCCACTTGTGACAGATACTGCTAGTCCACCCTAGTACTCTCTTCCTCCAGACCCAAAGGCCTCAGCTTCGTTTCTCACATGGCACTTCAGGTAGCCCCCTAAATGAATCAGGCACACCAAGTGAAACCTCTATGCACCCAGCTTAAATCTCACCAAGCAGACAGACATTTGCTGGGACCCTGTGACAACCTAATGCTGGTGGCTCTGAGGGGACTTCGTGGGCCTGCACAGGGCTCAGAGCCTACCCTGGTCCACAAACACAAGTGCAGGCACATCAGACACATACTCCCCTCACCATTTTAAAGTTGTTTCTTCCCCAGGAAGAAACAACTGATTTCAGGCAAACCAATGAGCTGCAAAGACTGAATGGAGAAATATTTTGCTGGGGGATCTGATGCTGACTTTTCATTCCAGCCACCAGGCTGTTCTGTGTTTTTCAATGTGCAGAAGGCCTTTATAGCTGGTCCCTGAATGGCAGCAGAAGCTATTTATGTCTCCTTCCACCTCTTTTGGAAACAAATAATTACCATGTATTACGAAGATCACAACAGAGGTCTGTCTAGGGATCTCTGCTGTGCTCCCTTCTGTACCTTTTGTCCCAGCACCCAGTAGGCGCTTACCACATCCTGATGCAGATTACAGTTCGGCAATGTTCCATGAGTGTCATGTGTCAAGCCCTGGGTTAAAGGATACTTTGGCCTACTTTGTCTGCACCTCCATTTTGCAGGTGAGAAACAAAGGCTCGGGGAGCTAAAGTGACTCCTCCAATCGGGGCTTCGCAGCTAGTCAATGACAGGATTGCAAGCCAAGATCTACCCACCCATGACTGTGGAATCCAAGTTCAGAGCCACCTGCTCATTGCTGCCTGCTATGAAAGGGAGGAGGGAAGGGAGAAAGGGAAGGAGAGAAGAGGAGGCAGAGCGGCAGGGAGAGACAATGGAAGGAAGAGAGGGAAAGGATGAAGCTGAAAAAGAGGGAAAGGGAGAGAGGAGGGAGTGAGGGAAGCTGCTGGTGGTGGAGGCTCCAGGCCTGTCCTCCTCTTCCCTCTCCCAAAGTATGTCCTGGGGGATGGCCTGTGAGTCTAGAAGCCCATTCCAGACTGATCATGCATTTCCCTTGGAGTAAGAAGAGGAGGAGGAGGAGAAAGGTTAGGAGTCCTCTCTGAAGGGGGCACGGTTCTCAGAGGCCTGATTTGTACAGGGGAGAATCCTGAAACCAGTCAGTGAGGGAGCACTACCCTTTATTATGGAGACAGAAAAGCTGCAGCAATCCTATGGCCTCTAGTTTTGGAGAGGGATTCAGCTTTAGACCAAAGGAAGCACCAGAAAGATGAATTGAAGAGTGTAATTTGGTTAAACATAAATAAAAATAAAAACATTTCTACAATATAGAAACTATCTCTAGAAGGCCAGGTGTGGTGGCTCATGTCTGTAATCCCATCACTTTGGAAGGCCTAGGTGGGTGGATCACCTGAGGGCAGGAGTTTGAGACCAGCCTGGGCAATATGGTGAAACCTCATGTCTACCCAAAAAAAAAAAAAAATCAGCCGGGCTTGGTGGTATGCATCTGTTGTCCCAGCTCCTTGAGAGGCTGAAGTGGGAGAATTCCTTGAGCCTGGGAGGCAGACATTGTAGTGAGCCAAGATTGAGTCACTGCACTCCAACCTGGGTGAAAAAAAAAAAGAAAGAAACTATCTCTAGGGGTGGAGCTCTGGGGAATGTTTTCTCTGTTCAGATGTTCTACCAAACAGATGCATTACAGTGAACATGATTCCCTTTATTTTGCTTGATTTGCTGGACATCGTTCAAAGGTCATCCCCATGTATCAGTGGACAGATAGGAAGGAGGGTGTATGCAGTGAGGGCGTGGCTGTGGGCCCTGCAGGGGAGGCACTGCAGGGAGGGACTGGCTCTCCTGTGGGCTCAGAAACTCAGGTGAGCTGCCCATTACAGACAGCACATTGCTAGGGCATTAGCTCAGCCAGGAAGGAACCACTCTAAACCTGTGACTTCACTTTCCCCCTCCCACTCTCCTGTTCCCAGCCCCTCTGGGGCTGCTTTTTTTTTTTTTTTTTTTTAAGACAGTCTTACTCTGTTGCCCAGGCTGGAGTGCAGTGGCATGATCTCGGCTCACTGAGACCTGAGACCTCCACCTACCTCCATGGCAGCTCCTTCTGATAGCTACTGAAGGAATTCTATGAGGCTATCACTCCCCAAAACTCTCTGGGGGATGGGCTTAATTAAAAACCAGTCCAGTTTGCCCCTCAGTAGGAAACAGGGCAGACAGGATGTTGGTGCCAAAGCAAGCCAAAAACCTAGTCAGTATGGGAGGTATCTGCCTTCTTCCTGTTATAACCCTCTGGGCTCAGCTATGAGACCTGCTGGGACAGGAGCAGCTGGGGCCTGGGGCCCTCAGGGGGGTGAACATACTGGCTGCTGACCTGGCAGGGGCTCTCAGGCAGGTGGGCAGTGCTCTTACAGGAAGAGTCTCTGGCATTTGCCAAAGATACTTGTCTTCAGTGGGTAACAGCACCTAGCTTCTGAAGGAACTTCCTGTTTGAAGCAGGAAGTGGTTTTGGATTCAGGAACAGGGAGTGGTCTAAAAGGAAAAATGATAGGGGAAGTTGGCAAGACCATAGACTCCCAGCTAAATGGTGTTGAGGGGACATCTTGCTTGCTGAAAAACCTGGAGCAGAAGCTCAGTTACCCAGACTAGGCTGGGGAAAGGCTGGAGATGAGAACAGAGGTGAAGGCTAGAGGCGGGGAGCCTCCTCAGGAACCCTGGGTGATAAACACAGATCTTTTTTTTTTTTTGAGACGGAGTTTCGCTCTTGTTACCCAGGCTGGAGTGCAATGGTGCAATCTCTGCTTACCGCAACCTCCGCCTCCTGGGTTCAAGCAATTCTCCCACCTCAGCCTCCTGAGTAGCTGGGATTACAGGCACTCGCCACCATGCCCAGCTAATTTTTTGTATTTTTAGTAGAGACGGGGTTTCACCATGTTGACCTGATTGGTCTCGATCTCTTGACCTCGTGATCCACCTGCCTCGGCCTCCCAAAGTGCTGGGATTACAGGCGTGAGCCACCGCGCCTGGCCTCTTTTTTTTTTTTAATTATCTTTAAATTTCTTTAGTTGTACTTTAAGTTCAGGGATACATGAGCAGAACATGTATTTTCTTTTTTTTTGTTTGTTGTTTTGTGTATTGTTTGTTACATAGGTAAATATGTGCCATGGTGGTTAGCTGCACCTATCAACCCATCACCTAGGTATTAAGCCCAGCATACACTAGCTATTTGACCTGTTGCTCTCCTTCCCAGGGCCCCTGCCACAGGCCCCAGTGTGTGTTGTTCCCCTCCCCATGTCCATATGTTCCCATTGTTTGGCTCCCACTTATGAGTGAGAACATGCGATGAACATACATCTTTTTTTCCTTTGAGCCAGAGTCTCTCTGTCACCCAGGCTGGAGTGCAGTGGCATGATCTCGGCTCACTGCAACCTCCCCCTCCTAGGGTCAAATTATTTTCCTGCCTCAGTCTCCCAGTAATTGGGACTACAGGTGCATGCCACCATGGGATGGTCTCTATCTCCTGACCTCGTGATCCGCCCACCTCGGCCTCCTAAAGTGCTGGGATTACAGGTGTGAGCCACCAAGCCCGGCCTGAACACATATCTTAACCCTTTCTCTCCCACTGCCCAGATGGGGTTCTCACCACCATGCCAGGTCTAATTTCAGCAGCTCCTGGGTCTGAGTGAAGCTAAATAGGACAGTTGAAAATCTCTAGCTCCTGTGTGTATGCCTGGGTGGGGAGAGCAGAAATGGACACCTTTAGTCTCATTGTGTGAATAATAAGGTGAGAATCTCAGTTTGAACCTGTGACTAATTTATTTTTTTCCTCCACAGCACCTAGTACTGGCAAAGCACTTGGCTTGCATTGCCTGGATCCACTCACTGATGAAATTAGGCAATTGCATTTCCTCATACCCATACTGAAGAATCCTCAGAAAAATGCAAAAGAGGAAACCAAGACACAGCGAGGTGAAGGGTACAAGCTCATTCATACCAGGGCCTTTCCCTCTTCTCATGGCCCTTGAGGCAGTGGTTACTGGTCAGTCATGAATTCTTTCCTGCTGAGCCCAGAGTGGGCAACAAAACTCAGCAGGACCCTACAGGCCTTTCTTTCCAACTGCTCAGTGTTTGCCATTCCCTGTGTGATGGACTAGGAAGGCAGAGAGGCTGGATGGAAAGCAGTGCTGCGAGGAAGAGGGAACCCTGGAAAGTAAAGATGTCTGTCTCTGTTATTCATTGCTTCAGTAATGCCATGCGACTGTGGCAGATAGTATTTCCCAAAGATGGCCCCAACAATAACTCCCATCCTATATTCTCTTTTGGAATGTGACCTTGCTGTTTTCCTATCAAGATGTGACATCTGTGTTTCCAATGGTTGATGATTGTTTTATCCAATAGAATAGGAAGGAAGCAATGCCATGCCAGCGCTGCCATAACCCATACCTGGCCTAACAGCATCCTCTCCCTGCCTGGTGGAACCCAGCGCCATGATAGGAGAAGCCCATCCCCCATGCAGAGGCCATGTACGGTCAACAGCCCAGCTGAGTCCAGCACAACAGCTGGTATCCTGTGCCAGCCACCTGGGTGAGCCATCCCAGGCACCCAGTCCAGCTGAACCTTTCAGATGCCTGCAGCCCCAGCCAACATCTGACTGTAATCATCTGAAAGATCCCAGGTAGAAATTGCCCCTCTGAGACTAGTTAATGCACAGAACCTTGGGAGATGGTATTACATGAGTATATAATACATTATTTTAAGTCACTAAGGTTTTAGGGTGGTGTGTTACTTGACAATAAATATTAGAACAGAAATAGACTACCTGAAAACATATGCCTTAAAACAACATGTATTATTTCTCGTGAGTCTGGTTGCTTATGCATCTCAGGTCTGCTCGCAGGTTGGCTGGAGGCTGGCAGGCCGGGGGTGGCCTCTGCTGGGACAATTCAGCTCTGCTGTGTGTGATCTTTCATTCTCCATTGGCTAGACACAGCTTGTTCTCATGGCAGAAGCAGGGGTTTAAGAGAGAAAGTGGAAGACACGAGGCTTCTTAAGACCAAAGTATGGAGTTGGCACATTGTCACTTTCAATAAACATTGTTTAAAGCAATTTCAGGGCCGGCCCATATTCAAAGGGTGGGGAAATTGATTCTGTCTCTTGGCAGGAGGAGCTACACAGTCACATTGCAGAGAGTGTGGATTGATGATGCAGAGGGCGTGGACTGGGAGGGATGGAGGATTGTGGCTGTTTCTGCAATCAGTCTATCCCAATAACTCATGAGGATATTAAGAAGTTTGCTAGGAACCACGTGTGGTGGCATGCCTCTGTCATCCCAGCTACTTGGGTGGCTAAGGCAGGAGGATTGCTTGAGCCCAGGAGTTTGAGGCTGCAGTGAGCCATGATTATGCTGCTACAGTCCAGCCTTAGTGGAAGGGAGATGCTGTCTAAAAAAAAAGAAGAAGAAGAAGTTAGCTGGGAAGTGTGTGAATAACAAGTTCCTCCTCGTTTTGACTGACATAACTAGTTAAGCCACTGTTTCTCAGGATTACTCTTCATTGTTTTAGCTTTCCAGCCTCTGTGGAGAAAGGAAAGAGAGAAAGAAACTGTGAGGAGTTGTGTTTGGGTGGCCAGCCAAACTTGCCAAGTGCTCCAGTCACATGGCTTTCAGCAGTGCTGGGTGACACCCTAGTACACCGCGACAGTTTCTTGGGGCTACCACTCAGGAAATGGTTGAGTATAAGCGTGAGAAACCCTGAGTCCCGACCTTAACCAGGGCAGTGCTGTTCTTCCCTTGTGATTTTCTTTGGGGAAAGGTTATGCAGCTTTGAAAAGGAAAAGGATTTCAAATCCAGTGAACTCATCTAAACTCTTAATCTTATAGAAAAGGAGCCATCTTAGTGAAACTGAGGGTTTTTCTACGTTACTATGCCATTGAGTGTCTTGGCTGGTGTCAGACCCCAGGCTGCTGACTTGCCCTCCTACCTGAGCCAGTTCTCCTGCCTGACTCACCCCTCCCCTCACTGGATTCCAGATGACAGCAGATTGCTGAAGCCCAGAGAACAGGAGAGAACTGAAGAACATCAGAAGTGATGTTCCTGACCTAACACTGCTCCAATTCTCTACTTTCCCACCATGGTTCATGGTCCTTGAACCCTGAGCTTCAGCCACCGCCATCCTGCACATACACACCCTCACATGATGACCTTGACAAGGCTTGGTCCCCAGAACCACAGACAATTTCAGGCATCATATTGGCAGTCAGGCTGAGCTGGCTGGTCAACCCTAGGGTGGAGCAGGGCACACTTGCGGGAGCTGATCCTGCAAGGGCAGATGGAACTCCATCTGGGAGAAAAGCTCATTTCCCAAGAGAAGGCTTGGTCTTACTTGGAGCCTGTGATCTTGTTCTCCTCCCAGTTTGTTAATTCCATTTCTTCCCAAGTTCATTTTTTTAGGACATGGGCTATTAATAGCTCCTCCTAAGTCCTTTCCAGTCTGTTTCCTGTTCAAGTATACTGCATTAGTCACCAGAAAGTGTCTCGAGCAACCTCTGTGTCCCTGCCTGATCCTGGCCACAGGGAACACAGGGATGCTGGTCAGAATCAGGGCAGGTCCCCTTGGAGAGATAGAAAGCAGAAGGCAGGAGGTAGAAGGCTGGCCAAGGGGGCTCGTGGGGGCAGAGGGAGCATCTCTTATTCCCCATCCTCTGTGGCATCAAGCCCTGAGTGCTTCCTGGCTTCCTGGAGTTTATTTAGTCCTTAGAGACACAGAAACTGCAGAGGCACCTCCATTTGGCCGCATATTTTTGCCATTACTTGATGACCTATTTGCATGCAGCTCCTTGCAGAGAATTTCCTCTCAAGCCATATAGGGTGATTTCATCACACCACATGAAGCTTTTATTTGCGGTCAGTGATCAAGATTTCTTTCTGATTTCCTCCTGCCAGCCCCACATCCCTCCTGTGACCTGCCTAGGCTGCTCTCAGCTCCTTGCAAACCTGGTTCTCTCCAAGTATGGTTGGTCCAGGAAATTACCCGCTTCATCTAAGGAGAGGGCTCCAGAGATCCAAGCTGGGTTTTCGTATCAGCAGGACGCCAACATTGCCTGGCATCCCTGGCCACCTTGAGCACTTTGATCAGCCTCCACAAATCCCTAGCAAAGGGCTTGAGTGCAGGGTTTCTGATCCTGCGCTTGCTGACCCTGAACTTTCTGGGGACAAAGGAGAGAAAGGTGGAGGGAAGCCTGAGGTTCTGTTTGCACAGCTAGTCATCAGGCAGCCTACATCCCACAGAGCAAAATTTTCCCAAACTGTCTCACTGCTCCCCAGCCCCAGGCAAGGGGATTTATGTCCCTTGAACAAAGCTTCTGAGGGCCTCAGAGATAACTTGTTCTAGTCTCTTCTTAAGGGGCAGTGACCTCCTTAGTCCCAACCTCAGTGTCGCCAAGTCAGAGCAGCAAGGGACCAACTGATATCCGCTGGTCATTGAGCACCTGCTTTGTGCCAGGCTGTCTGCTGCGTGCTTCAGAGACAAACCCTCCAAACCCTCTGAAATAGTCTTGATGAAAAGATGCCTGAGCTAAACACAACGTTCCTGTCTCACTCGGAGAGCTGGCACACATAGCAGCCTGAGCAGAGGAGGTGGAGGAAATCGGGCAAGCAACGTGGACGCCAGGTTCCAGTCCAGGCCCAGGCATCCTGGGGCTACTCCTGAGTCGTGACGCACACCAACAATCTGGCACAACTATTCTTATTTCCATTTGGTTTCCATCCAAGGAAATCACAACAGACTGTCTCCCCACATAGCACACTCAATTACATCCTTGGGAGCACAGGAGTCCAGAAGATGCCATCAGGGATGGCTGAGTCAGGCGCAGTCAAGGATGAGTTTGCTTCTGACAGTGCTGGAGGTCTCAGGACTGATCCCCTCCAAGAGAAAGGTGGGGACATGAGCCCAAGCAGGGACTGCTCTTCTGGGACCACAGTGGTAAATTTGGAAGTGGAGAGAAAGCAGAGGGTGACAGTGTCATCCAGCCTCCTCTTAAAACAAGGCTCTCTCCCACTTCTACTTTTTAGATTATGAAAATGAACATGCATGCAGAAAAGTACACAGAAAATTATACATTCTAATAAGTAACTATAAAGCAAACACCCATGTCCTCACCACTCATGTCAAGATGTGAACCATTGGCCAGGTGCAATGGCTCACGTCTATAATCCCAGCACTTTGGGAGGCTGAGGCAGGCAGATCACCTGAGATCAGGAGTTTGAGACCAGCCTGGCCAATATGGTGAAACCCCATTCTCTACTAAAAATATAAAACATTAGCCAGGTGTCATGGCACACATCTGTAATCCCAGCTACTCAGGAGGCTGAGGCAGGAGGATCGCTTGAACCTGGGAGGTGGAGATTGCAGTGAGCCGAGATCGTGCCATTGCACTCCAACCTGGGTGACAGAGTGAGACTCTGTCTCAAAAAAAACCACAAAAAACCATGAATCATTGTCAGCACCCCCAAACCCCTTGCAGGGCCCCCTCCCCTAGACTTCGTGGTATCTCCTTCTGTTTACTCTAGTTTTACCACCTGAGTTTGCGTCCTTAAAGAAAATAGTTTAGTTTTACCTGTTTTGAGCTTTACATGACTAGAATCACATTATAGAGTTTATGGGCTTTCTCCATATCTTGCTTTTTTTTCTCAATTGTGTTTATGAGATTCGTCCATGTTGCGGTAGCGGTGGTGAATCCATTTTCATGGCTGTATAGTATATTCCACTGGCTAAATATGCCATATTTATTTATCCACGCTACTATTGATGAACATTTGGATTGTTCCCAGGTTTTAACTATTCTGAGTAATGCTGCAGTAAGTGTTCTTGGTATGTATATCCTAACGCAAATATGCACGCATTTCCCCAGGGCTTATACCTAAGAGTGGAATTAGGCCATAGGGTATGTGTGTCTTCACCTTTACTGGATAACAACATGTAGTTTTCCAAGCTGTAGCGCCTTTGCTCTCTTTGTTAGACAACTGAAACATGCTCAGGGAAGGAGACCGCAGGTCGGAATTGCTGGACTTGCAGAGATGCTTCAGGTGGGAAAACTTCTCCAGAGAAATTAATCTATGTGCCTTTGTTTCTCTCCCTTCTCACTGCTGGTCCCTGCCTCATTGTTCCAGACTGTGCTACTGCAGGCCCCCATAGCTGAGCCCAGTACTCCCCCACCTCGGCTTCAGGTCACTGTGCTTCCCAGACTCAAATGGTTAAAGACATGGTGGGCAGCTGTCATGTGAAGGTTAATCCAAGGGTAATGGGACCCCAGCCATCAGACAGGAAGTCAGAGGAGACAACCCAGGGTGGGGGCTTGAGCAGGGCAGTTGGCAGGATGGCACTGCCAGCTCTGGAACCTGAGGCATGATGGCTCCTCAGCGCAGCCTAGGACAGCAGGGAGAGGAGCTATTAGGATGCTCACTAGGCCCAGAGACCTGGAAAACTGCCTTCAGCATAGCACTTATAGATCTTTATAAGACCAAAAAGTAACATAAATAGTTTAACAAAAAAAGAAGAATTTATGGGCTTGTAACAAGATATTACAATAGGTCTGCCTTTAAGAGAAGGTTGATCTAGACACTCAAACTTTATCATCAGACTCGGGTTCTTGGAATGTCTTGTCTCTGCTGTAGGAGCGCCAGCAGTCACCAAGAAAAGGTAAGATGGAGATGCACAGAAAAGGTGAGATCCTAGAACAGGAATGGACAACAGCAGGCCTGTCTTTGGCAAGATCTATAACTGGGGACAACTCAGAAAGCAACCCCCCATCTCTGGACACAGTGGGTGGCTCCGGTGGTCCTAGTACCTGGGGAACTACCCTCTTCAGCTTAGGGGATGGCAGACACACACAGCCCTATAAAGGCACGTTCACATCCTCAGATTCCTAAAAATGTTCATCTATTCTTATTCTGAGCATTTGGAGAGGACTCCCAAAGATGAAAAAAATAATTCTCTTATTAAAGAAAAATTTTGAATATATTTTCTATACTAGAAATTGGAACCTGAGGTCTGATTTAAGATTTGGCAGTATTTCCAAGTAGGGGAGGAAGTTTCTTTTCTAAATGCTGTTTAAAATTCTGAGATATTTCTTTAGTACATGAGACCAAAGGGACAGAATATTTGAACTCAGGGCTGTCTTAGAAAATCCTAGAAGTACAGTAACTGCAATGATTTTTAATAGCATTTATCAGGTTTGTTTTTTAATTTAAAAAAAAAGGTAAAAAACTAAGTGGCCCAAAGTCCCACTGATGAGACACGCTCCTTGCCATTAAAAAAAAAAAACCTCATGCATGTTATTTATAGAGAAATGTATAAAATGAGAAAACACTAAATCCTTTTCTTTAGCCTCCCTTTCCACAAGGACCTGCTAATCAGAGTTTCTTACTTTTTTAAAATCATTATT